TATTTGGGGGGCGCCTTTCATAGCACACAAGGACACAGGGCAAAGGGTAATATAGGGACCATTTAAAACAGTGGATTTAATGCAATGTCTAAAACAAAACGTACACTGTTGTATAATAAATGCAGCCTACTATTTCATAGGGTTTACCAGGCTGCTTGGCTGTATAGACTGTACACACATACCCATATCTGCGTGTCTGGGCAACACACTCTCACTCCATAAACGTCCAGGAGCGACGCTTGGTCAGGGTCCCGAGGCGTGCAGTTGGGACGCTCCTAGGCTCCTTCAGCTTCATAAACAGACGCAAATAGCTTTCAACTGATTGCAATGTATTCCCATCTGCGGCGGGATTTGACGCTCATGGAAGCACGGCATTCCTTTGTGTCGGAGGCTGTTAAAGGCAATGTGAGCGTCCATTCCCATTGGATAACAGAGAATTGTACACCCGGAAGTAAGTATTCCCCTTACTGTCGATTGATTTGACAGTGATATCTCCACTACTCATCAACTCAAAAACACCAGATTATCCTTGTTAATTAAACGACATTGATAGGTTTTAGTGTGTGTACAATGCTTTTGTCACGTTTTCCCCTTCAATTCTGAGAAACAAGTAGTTTTCTATGAGTTTTGGATGGCCGAAGACATTACATTACCCACAATCCTCTGTAGCAACCATAGACTGTATAAAAAAAAAATTAAATAATACATTATTCCGAGTGTGCTTGCTTTTCTCTTTGAAAGTCATCACATAACGGCATTGTAATACACGTTTCGGCTGCATTAAATATGACATATCTGCCGTAGTTAACTCTATTTATAGAGCCCTGATGACAAGACTTCTAGACAAACAGGAACTGCCGCCAAAACTGAAAACTTGACGTGGATCTTAAATATATAAGCAATTAAACAACATCTTACATTTCTTTTCACACAATACGTCTCCTTGCAGTATCAACACTAATTCGGCTGACTTTTATATTTGATCCAATTGGTAGATAGGCTGTATTTACGCCATAACGGTGCACAGCTGATAGAAAGGGACACCTACTGGTTAAAGCACGTTATTGCATTTTATAATTTTATTATTAGATATTAATAGGAGGATGTGCAAAACAGACAAACTAATAAGGCTTTATTTAAACATTAAAGAATACTTTAGGTTAAGGTCTTCTTTTGAATAAGAAAAAAGCTTTGGGGGTATAGAAGATGAATATGGAGGTTTGAAACCCTCTTTGATGGTCACACATGCAGAGCACACAGCACACACAGTGAAATTTGTATCTACAGATAAATATTAAGCCTGACAAAGTACTTAACGTCTAATATATTGCTTTCCTGGAATGTTAACTATGTTTAAGCACTTATTTTAAAGTGGACCTATCATGCTATATTTAAAATAAAAATGTGTGTGCCAGTGTTGTTCTCTCAGGGCCATTCTGACCTCTCTATGCGCACACACACACACACACACACACACACACACACACACACACACACACACACACACACACACACACACAGACACACACACACACACACACACACACACACACACACACACACACACACACACACACACACACACACACACTAAATTAAAAGTTTATATACATGTAATATAATATAATATGATATTTACAGGAACAGAATATGAAATTAAATAATGTAAATTAAGAAAAAAAAAAAATACGGTGTATTGCGTGGATAATAGACCCAATCACAGTGAATGTTCAAAACTACATTTGATACATTTTTCTGTTTCATCTCACAGTGCACATATTTAAGTAATCATAACACAAAGCTAAAAGTTAATCTGTTTTTCCTTTCTCTTTTCAAGAGTGCTTCAGAGGATGGCTGAATTCACAAAACGTGGAGAAGACCGAGAGGGGGAAGTTGGGCGGTTACTACATTTCACAAAAAATACAGGACCTGAAATTATTTTCCTGCTTCTAAACATTTGATGTATGAGTATTTATTCACAGACAATACATTCTATACATTCTGGTACCTTTCTGGTAAGGTAGGTGCTCTGATCTGAAATGATAGATGTTCATTGAGCTACTGCAATTGGGTGAGAGTGTTTCATCATCATATATGACAAGCTTAACCATCAAGAAATCCCAGCTAAAGTTCTACTCAAGATCATACCAGTCTGACTAGCTAATGGTGACCAGCTAGAACCCTGTGACCACCAGCTTTTACGAGCTAAACCAGCTATCCCGACCAGCTAATGGTGACCAGCTAGACCACTGTGACCAAACCATCTATCCTGAGCAGCTAAATTGTCCAAAACCCCTCTAAACCAGCAAACTAATCCAGCCTAATATTGACTGGCTGGTCAGGCTATTTTACCAGCCTGACCAGCCAGACCAGCCTTGTTGGTCTAAACAGTTTTTTTCAGCAGGGATGGGAGGGCAGACAGTACTTGGTATTTTATACTGTATATATAACCTATTTATTGTTAAATCATGCCCTAACACAAGTGTTCTTAATGCACAAGAGAAACAAGGTGTTCAGACAAACAAACAAAAATATAGTATAAAACAGCAGAAAATATTCATGATACCCTAGAATTCTGTTTACTGTAAGTACAGTAAAAGTACTTAGTTATAATTCAGTACACAAATGACATCATCCATCTCTTAAGAGAGCTAAAGGTGACCTGTGCAGCAACACATTTCAAGAAGTATCTGTCAATACTAAGAGCCGCTAGATTGTGCTGCTGTATTGGAATATGTATGCAAGGAGAATAAAAACATACCATGTGGTCCAGCTGGAGTTTCATCTGCCTCCTGATCCCTGCCTCTGTCCCTCTTTCTGACACTACAAAAGAAAGTTTCATATGCTGAAGCCGCAGAACAGGTATCACAAAGCATGACAAGGAAATCCCAAGTAGCAGCAAGTATATTCTCTTCAAAAGATTTTCCCAAACTCCCACAGGCAAAGAAAAGCTCCACAATATGTTCACATAAATGTGTCATAGGCATTGATTGTTAATAAACACCATTTTGTGGCCTTCAATCTTGGCCTTGTAATCTTCAGGTTCCATGAAATCTTTTCTAGAGAGATAAAAAAATATGGATGAATAAATAAATGTTAACTGGTAAAATAAGATATAAATGAGCCAGCAAAAATCTTGCCTAGGGCAGCAAATTGCTCAGAACCGGCTCTGGTGTCATCCCCATAGTACCCTCCATTTGAAACATGTTCCCACGGCTATGAACAACAATACGCCCAGGCTGCCCCTCCTTAAAAAAAAAAGTACAGCTTGTTCTTGTTCTATCAGATGTTTAAGGATTCCATATGTTTTTGCACGTTCCTGTTTAGATTCTGCCTCGTGTTTGTTCTCATTGGGCCTTATGTAAGAACATGTTCTATTCCAATGCTTAATTGCTCTAGGTCGGATTTCCTACTAACGTAATAGACACTTTGGACATTTATTAATCCTAGTAGATATTGAGTCATCACTAGGCAAGGCGAGGCAAGTTTATTTATATAGCACCTTTCAACACAAGGCAATTCAAAGTGATGCCTGATCACAGAAGATTTAAAAAGGTTCACTGTGAAACACACACACACACACACACACACACACACACACACACACACACACACACACACACACACACACACGCACACACACACACACACACACACACGCGCACACACACACACACACACACACACACACACACACACACACACACACACACACACACACACACACACACACACACACACACACAAACCTGTTTGCTTGGGTCTCTGCTCTGCCTTGCTGACAGAACGGCTGCAGCCATGAAGTAATCTTCAGGTTCC